TTCCTTGGGAAGAATCGTTTGATAAACAGCCAACTGACAGAAAGGCCGCGCAGCTACTTCATGCTCACGTACCAGACCTACGTGCGCGCCCTGTACGCGCGCCTGCGCTCCCCGCAGCAGTTCGTCCTCCTGCAGGTCCTCTCGAGCGGCTTCCTCATCCTCCTGACGCCGCTCACCATGTCGCCGCTCTGGCACCGCGTCTCGCGCGCCCTCAACTTCACCGACCAGTCCTACGCCTCGTACCAAAAGATCTGCACCCGCAACGTCTTCATCCGCTCCCTCGCCGAGAACGTCTCCATGGCCGCCTTCCTCGGCAGCGTCCTCGTCCTCCACTTTGGCGCCAACAAGGACGTCTACCCCTACTTTGCCTTTGACTTTGACGACGACGACTCGGAGCGCTACGACTTCCGGCTCACCTTCTGGGCCTCGTCCGTCACCTGGGCCTGCGAGCTCGCCGCCTCGCTGTGCCTGCGCCTGCTCATCCGCTGGTGCTACGGCGTCGACGTCGGCAGGGAGGGCCGGCTCGACCTCGCCGTCTGGCCCGAGCTGCTCCCCACGAGCGTCGCCGTCATGCTGCACGTCCTGCAGAACATGCTCTTCTCCATCATCCGGTTGCAGTTTCAGCTGCAGTGATGGCGGAACGCCCGCTTGACGCATGGCCTGTGCGAGCCGGTCCATGACCTTCGACAGACCGGCAGGCAGGCAGACAGGCAGACACAGGCTGGAGTATGGCCTGCGTTACTTTCCATGGCGCTTGGGGGCTTCATGTCATCAGCGACCACGATAAAGAGCGGGATGGAGATGAAGACGGTTGCCTCATTTGGGTCTGCATTGCTTTTTGGTCCCGTTGTTATGTGCTATCTGGTTCCCCCTTTTGCGTTTGTTGCGTACGATTCTTTTTTTTTGGGCCGCTGTGGCCGTCTGTTGCATACTCAGGTCTAGAGGTACGGGAAGAGGAAGAGAAGAGGCGAAGAAAGAGTGATACCCCCTTCATGCGCGATGTTTCTAGCGAGCATAGTACACTGCAAAACTATCCAACTTTAATGACAAGACAGAAGAAATGCGCCATTCGTTTTAGTTCGCTTGACCTTGTCCATGACTAATGCTTTCTGTCCTCTTCATGACCGTGATATCCAGCGCTGAACCTAGCACGTTCCTTTACTAAAGTACGGCGACGGAGTCTTGTGGGCTTGATCTGCAGTATGCGGGCTGGCATCCAAGACGCGTTGTAACCTCGCAGGCGGATCTGGTCCACCTGCAAGCGTGCAACACAGTACAGAGAGGTAGGACCAGCGGACCAGTGGCCGAAGATGAGAGCCGGTTCGCGGGATTTCAGATTGCTAGTTTGCCGAATGGGATGGCTGCATAACGCCCTGCCTTTTGAGCCGGCCGACAGGAGCGACGCGGGCGGTAGACCTGAGTACCTCGAAGAGGCGGGCCCAGGCCTCGACATGATCGTGCTGATCGCACGCCTCTACTCCAGTCTCCTGCCTGGGATTCTCATTCGAGCCGCGTTCTGCTGCTTGAATGTTCTCTCTCACTGCATTGACAACGCGTGTCGACTCGCAAACCCTTCACGCGAGCGCCCAATGAAGTTGAGTCGTGACAAAGGCGGTGAAAGTAGCCGAAAAGGTAGCTGGATAGCCACAGACCGCGGATCTAGCCTAGCGCTTGCTCGGTCTACCAAGGTAGTTAGCCAACATGCAATGACGGGAGATTTCCTGCTCCATAAGTGCTCCTCCCTTCTGGGACACTGGTGCCTGCACCTCGAGACTGATGTCGTGCTGAGGGTGATGCCAGTTGGATTCGAGAGTGAGAGCTGCTCCAGGCAAAGCCGGAGCGGACGACACAGAGTCGGAGTAGACCAGTTTCTGCTACCAGGGGGCATATTGGTGGCTAGCCGCTTCGTGCTGCGCGTGTCGGCTTGTGGGCGATTTATGAGGAGGTTTGCCCCTACCCGAAGGGTCACGAAACGGTCGGCAACGGGTTCTATACGTAGGTGCGACACCGACCAAGTGATATCACTGAACAGTGGTGGATATAAGAGTGTTTGCAAACCAACTGGGCCAGCCGTGACGAAACAAGCTCACTGGTTCCAGACCGTCAGCGCCGCTATTTGGCAAAGTAAATTGGCAGAAGGTTGTTTCGGACGATATCAGCCAGAGGCCTGGAGGCCGCAGACCGCGGGCGCCCACCGACGTGGGATTTGACCCCACCGAGGCACGAAGAGGGTGTGGTGAGGGCTGTACTGAGAGGATGGCCTCGTCATGTTATAGATGAGCGGTCAGAAACACGTCGCGACTCTGCGTGTCGGGACCAGCTCGGCGACGCGGGGGTCGGGATACCAAAGGCAACGTCTCGGGTCCGTGATTCGTAGTCGATGAACGAACGTAAATGTGGTATTGCTTTGTCTGATGCAGAGGACCCCACGCGGTTGATGAGAAGGGGATGCAACGCGTGAGCATACTGTGTAAGCTGCGGCGCAATGATCAGAGGTGTGCCCTTCAGTTCCGTCTGTTTGCGTATCTCCGCCATCAAACATGTATTTGGGAGCTGTACTGCTGGTGGGGGATGGATACACCCGGGCTGCCGACAACATGCCATTCATCATCGGAGTGTCGTGTCACTCCGTCTCGGATACGTCGGTATTAAATGCCGCTTGCCAGCAAGCACATTTGACTCATCGCCTGTCGTCCGGGCGGCCATCCTGGCCTCGAGCTGGTGTTTCGAGGGCAGGTAGATGGGGCATGGTCGAACGAGCAATACGAGGATGATGAGCATCCAGAGGTTGCAATGATCGAACTTTGTGCATCTGCAACACGATGACGGCGTTGCTGGTGGCGTCTGGTGTGAAGGTGTTGTGGGGGGGGAGGGCGGCACGAGTGAGTGCATGTGGTACCGCCTGCCTCACTGGCCCCGTCCGTAGCTCTCTCCTGGCAATATCCTTCCTTCCTGACAACAGTATTCTTGTCAGCCTTTCCTGCCTGAGCTGGCTGATTCCTTGGAAAGGTTGGAAAGGGCAAGGATGATGACGCCCAAAGCTTGTCGCTTTGGAAGCAACGATGGTTTAGCTAAGCCCGCAGGCAGGCGGTTAATCTGGTTGTCGGACGCGCCCGCCAAAGTTGAATGCCCCATGCTCCAACAGACTTTCCAGTAACACAGATCCTCAACCCTTCCCAACCCTTCCCAACCCTTCCCTCAGAGTTTCTTCCAGTCCTCCAACCGCTTTTGTACAATCCAGCTGCCCGGCTGCCGTCGGAGAGAAGAACAAATGCAGCATCACATCAGCCAGGCCTGCATTATGCCCGGCCGATTCGATTTGGTGCAACCTGCGGGCTGCCGCTGACGGAACTTGTCAAGCCATGTACGCCGCCGGTTGCCGACATGTCTCGCCAGAGCACAATCTTGATGCAACGCATAGCATAACGTGCTGGCTGGGACCCCGAACCCCTCCTCCCAAGGCAACCCCCCCGACAACCCATCCACCCCTGCCGTACCGACCTAGATCCTTGTCAAGGTGGCTTGCTGATGCTGAGCTTCATTTGTAAAGGATGGCGGCCTGGCAACATGGCATGGTGGGGTATTCCTTGTGTTTCTGGACACGTTCAGCCATCCACGCAACCGTACCTGTAGCCATGTCCAGATGGCTTGCGAGGCTTGCGAGGCCTGCGAGGACGAGGCATGACTTCGATGCATCGCCGGTCGGGCCACTCAGGCAAACAACCACTGCTGGCATCGGCTTCTTGTCGGTCGACTGGGTGACACGCAGTGCCTCAAGGCGTCCCGCCATGACAGGGCAATCACAATCACCCTCGCCATGCCAATGGACGAGGGGGCTCGCTGGCTGTCTGGACCACACCCACACAAACGTGCGCCAGACGGGCGTGGCATTGGCACTGTCAACACCCCATATCTAGAACCTGATCCTGAACCTGACCCCTGGACGGACCCGTGCAGGCCGCTGCGAGAGACCGTGCTGGGCTTGGGCTCTGCCCCTCCGACCCCTCCAACAATCAGGGCGCCCCTCCATGGATTCAAGCATCAAGCTTCCCCTTGCCCCTCACCTGCAAGGTTTGGAGACAATTCACGTTCGTTCGCACCAGATTGCGCGATTCAGAGACGAGTTTGTTTCTCCCAATTGCCCATCAGGAGCGACAGGAAATCGCCTGAGAAAAGCCGCCGAGACGAGAGGAAGACCGACAAAGAAAACTAGTTAGACCGACGTTCCTTGTCCTTGTCATCGAACGCCTCGCCTTGTCCTCCTGCGTGTTATCCATCTAGGCCTTATCCTACCCCTCCTCCACTTGCCTTTTCGGCTCGTCTTCCGTCCCTCGCCGGCGCAACTCTGGTTTGCATTTTGCGCTGCTCACTTGCTGACCCCAGGCTCGCCGGCCGGCGGTCTGCGCCATCTCGCAGCCTGCTTTCGTGCTTTGCCCTGTTCAGTCAGTCAGTCCGTCCCGTCTGGCTCATCTCCTCACAGCCTAGGGAGACGGGACAATTTTACGCGCCTTGTTCCTCCCACGCACAGGCGGCCGTGTCGTGGCCATACACGATCCAGCAATAAGGCAAAAAGCCGGGCCAAGGACTACCCTGTTGCCCTGGCTCTGCCTAACGGTAATCCCGCCGCCCGCCCGCCTGCCGTCGAACTGACCTTACACCCGCTGGCCGCGCAGCACCACCACCACCGGCTCTGATGTCCCACACCCACCCACCCCAGACCCCAAAATTTTCTCTCTGATACAAACCCATATCGGCCCAGCCATCCCTCCTCCTGCCTACTTTTCCCCTCTCCTCCTCTCCTCCTCTCTTCTTCCTTTTCTTCTTCTTCTCCTCATCATGTCCGCCGAACAGCAAATCGCCCCTGGCACCGCCGCGTCATCTGCGTCGCCAATCACCCCCGTCGCCGCCAACCCCGCCAACCCTCAAGATGCCGAGGGACGACAGCCCGCCGCCGCCACCACCGGTTCCTCCGAACTCGCCAGTGGGAAGGTGAAGCTCAAGGCCGCTCTCCGTCACTTCCCCGACTTTCCCCAGAAGGGCATCGACTTTGTCGACATTATGCCACTGTTCCTCGACCCCACCGCCCATGAAACTCTCGTCTCCGCTCTTCACCTCCAGATCCAAGAAGGCTACGGCGGTGTCGTCCCCGACGTTATCGTCGGCCTCGACGCCCGTGGTTTCCTCTTTGGTCCCGGCCTCGCCCTCCGTCTCGGCAAGGGCTTCGCTCCCGTGCGCAAGCAGGGCAAGCTTCCTGGTCCTTGTGTGACCGCTGAATACCAGAAGGAGTACGGCACCGATTTCTTCCAGATGCAGGAGGACGCCATCAAGCCTGGCCAGAAGGTGCTCATCGTTGACGATATTATTGCTACTGGTAGGCATATCTCAGCCGCCTCGAATGCGAACATTGGATCATTTTACTGACTTGATGCAGGTGGTTCGGCCAAGGCTGCAGCTGACCTTGTCAAGAAGCTTGGAGGTGAAATCATGGGTTTCCTCTTCATCCTCGAGATTCCTGGCCTCAACGGCCGCGAGAAGCTCGACGGTATCAACACTACCATTCTTATTGAGGACGCTTAGACGCGTTCACGGCTACAACAACAACGAGGGGTGATCCGCAAAGCTTTCCCCGTTGT